TATAATATATATATATATATATATAATACACACTATCCCCTGCATAACAGTGAAAACTAACAGCTGGTTATTTATACCTTCCTTGTCTTCTGCGTGTGTATCTATTGCCTAATTATCTACAAACCCTAAACCCTAAACCCTAAACCCTAGACCAACAAAAAAGGCGATGACAATAAATTAACTGTGTATAGAAAAAACAGGAGTTCAGCGGGGAGTTCTAAACATTATATATATAAATATAAATAAATAAATAAATAAATAATATATTTATTTATTTATTTATTTATTTATTTGTAGCTGGGCTATATATGAATATACTAATAGAAACCCAGCAGGCATATTTTCTTGCCATAAGTAGATAGGTATACTGAGGAGGAGAAGAAGAGGAGGAGCTCCTCTTTCTTCTTTTTTTCCCCCTATTTATGATGTTTCTCCCTACATTTGTCAAGAATAATATTTTTTTATTAAGATGCATGCATTTCCCTGAATAATCCGTCAATAAATAAGGAAATAACTACATAAATTATCCGCATTTTAGCGTTATCTGTTGTGTCTATGGCGAAGAGCTAGAGGGTCCAATAGGGGGGCAGGTTTTTTTTTTTTCTTTTTTCTTCTTTATCCTATGCCTGGACATAGACGCATGCATGCAATAGAAGGAAATAGAAGAAAAATGCGTACAAATGCACCACTTATATCCTTTTCTTCTTCTTCTTCTCCTTCTTATAGCAAGAGAGGGATCATAAGGATCCGTTATCTGTAATAGAGGTCCAGTCCTTGGCTCCATCCAATGGACTTACACGCTTCCATGCATGCACATTTCCTAGCTCTGCTCTGCTCTGGTCTGCTCTCCTCTGGCCTCTTGGGTGTGTCCAGGAGGAGAGGCAGAAACAGCATCAAGAATTATATCCAGTTTGCGTCCTATAATATTATGCTCTTTTTTATCCTATAAGAGGAAGAATAAGAATAAAACAGTCCAATTAAGGACTTTCTTACTCGAATAATTAGGCCAACAGTGTAGGCCTCTATGGATGCACACTGCGTAGCTAGAGCCTGGAGCCTTGAGCCTCCGCTGGACGGCAGAATTCCCTTATACCGTATAGCTGGCCCTAATAATTAATGTACTTTATGTACTGATGGATGCATGCAACCCTGTAGGAAGGAGCCTAAAGAATTCGTCGTCTTATTGAACGAAAAATTGTATATTGGCTTAATGGGCATCAAGGATGCATAAGGGCTTCACGAATTAAATAATTCATGTTATCTAGTATAGCTCTTGTTTTTAACAAAGACTCCCCTGCATCCGTAAGAGAACGTGAGCGAGTTACGCCTCTTATTTCTTCATCAAAATGACGTTTTAGCCGCAACAATTTCTTCGCGGATGAAGAATCCTCAGGGAATACAAAACTTGCTGCCTCTTCTCCTTCCTGTATTTGACGTCTAAGTTCTTCTTCTAATACAAGGAAAAGTTTAGCATCCAAGTCTAACATTTCTGTTGTGAATTGTGCTGTCCTTAGAGCAACTAATTGACTATAATGATCACGAACTATTTGCGTAACTTCTTGTTGCCCAGCCATATGCAATATATTCCCTTGTTTTTCTGTAACATTATTAAGGATTACCTCTGTTGCAGTCTCAGTTCCTTGTATACTGGATAAAATATTTGCAGGTATTGAATCATTTAGTCTATTAGATTGATCATCAGGATTACGTGCTCTATCCCTTTGGTATTTCTCAATTTCTCTTCTCAATTTTCTTAAACGTTCACGGATGGTGCGCTGCTCAGAGGAAACGGTGTTAGGTGCTTGAAAAACTTTATCAGGAATTAATTCTTTTCCTCTCTTACCAACAGCATCAAACCCCATGTCAACAGAAGCTGCATCTTTCCTAACAGCTCTCAGCTCATCTTTCGCCATTTCCAGGGTAACTTCAAGTTTTCCGCTTGATGTAAATGCTACCTGAAGAGATCGACTCTGTTGCATATCCACTAAGTGAGCATACATATCATCTACTACACCCTGTAAGTCACCTAATCGTGACTCAAGAACAGAGCATGCATGGGTGTATTCTTCGGGTTCAATCCCGGGAGGAGGATGCCTTCTTTGCATCGCAGTAACGGATATTTTCAACAAATCAAGATCGTTTTCAAAATGCAACACGTCCTCCATACGGTCCCTACATATCATCTCATGCAGACCCTCAACAGCAATTTCTTTCATTTTTTCTCCAAGCCCCAAATCATGAGCTTTAGAAATGCCCATAGATTTCAGGTATTCAACTCCGGTGATCACGTGCTCCAACTTTTGTTCATCATTTTCATCTTGATAGTTAGGAATTTTCGTGATGTGCTTCGCTAGCTTCCTAAAGAATTTCCATTCTCTTTCTGACTTCTCCCGTAGGGAATTCAAGACATAGACTGCCCCACGCACACAAGATGTTCTCCTTATATCATTAATTACTTGCATAATGGGAACATCTTTATCTCCTTCTTTAAGGGCGAGCACGGGAAGGGGCGGGGTCCTTGAGTATGTATTGTCCAGAGCCTCTATGTACTCTCTCAATAACTGGTGCAATTCTCCGATTTCCCCATTGGCTAATTTCAGGTGTTCTTCTACAGTTGATGGGTCTTCTTCTTTCTTTGCATTTTCTAGGGCTTTCTGGATATTTAATACCACGCCAGAGGCCTCCGGTGAGCCAACAAGCGTGGCCATCTTTTCTGCGGTGTGAAATATTTTCTGTACTCGTTCAAGTCGCATTTTCATATACTCTTCATCAGACATATCTGGGGGTTTCGATGTGATCTCTTCCTCTGTAGGAGCCGCTGGGGCCGCTGCCCCCTTTTTCTTAGCGATGGCCAGCAAACCAGCACAAAGGAACAACAGCATGGATAGACTCATAATAGCGCCTTTCCCGGGCAGTTTGGCTCCTTTAGCTTTGTCACCATCCTTCGGTCCTTCAGCTAAGAGGGACTCGGTACCCTCCACTGCTGGTGCTTCCAGATAATCTACAGCGATCTCTGCGCCTATCGGTGCTCCGTCAAACGGAACATTTAGAGTCATCTGCGGAGAAGGATCTACACCCCCGGGCGACTCCGCTCCTATTCTCCATTTGGGCTGCGGGAATTCTTCGGCAGTTTCCCATTGTTGGTAGACTTGCGGAACCTTGGAGGCCGCTGCAGCCCACTGAAGGCAGCACTGGCAAAACGAAAGGAGGACCAGGGATCTCCAGACACCCATATGCTTCATCTTTCTTGCTTGCACAAACGAGCCAACGTGGCAACAAGGAAATGCCAGGAAGAGACCAGTGGATCTGCGTGCCGCTCTGCCGCAGCACACGCGTGCGGCTCACAGGCGCGCAGTCCCTCTTGCTCGTCTTCTCCAACTCTCCTCTCCTCAAGAAAACTCCAAACTGCTTGTGTTATCAAGTTATATTAATTTAGGCGATGCTCAGAGTATCTATCCTCTACTGAGCACGCCTTAACAAGCCAACGAGCACGCAGCATGTGTCCAAGGTCGAGCCCCACCGCTCTCTTGGGGAGCGCTGTCTCCTGAGCAGGAACACAGTAAACCGATTGAGCCGAAGCTAAAGCGGCCCGCTTGTCTATAGTAGATCAAGCTCATACATTACCATTCATACGATGTTTGTTGGGATTATCTGAACAAAAGAAAACGTCTCGTTCCACTTCTCTCTTCCAGCTCATGCACCTGCCGCCGCCGCGGGAGCGGCGGCGGCGGCAGGTGCTGAATTGGCTAGATGCTCTCGTACTTGAGTGCACCCTGCCTACAAATGGAAAAATAAGCGTTCAGAAACAGTGTGTTCAATGTTTGTACACCCATCAAGACAGGCTTCGTCGTGTTCGCGTGTTGGGCTGCCGTGCAACATGTAGGTTAGGCTGCCCGCGTTTGGTAAAAGGAAACTATCTACACTCAAGTATGAAGGCCGCAGACAAGCTGAAGTTGCACCAACTCCTTATAGTGTTAGTGAATGCAGAGAAGGGTACCCGGTGGTGCTTTCCCGTGAGGCCTTCTCGGTGCAATTGTATCGCAACTCATGGAAGGCTGCCTCCTCTCCGCCAGCTCGAGGCGCTTGGGCAGCTACGCACCCTTGGACACTCTGGAATGTGTTCAGATGCTCTTCACGGAGCTCGTATCAAACTATTAGAGCTCACCGCACCTCCAGATAGCCCTTCGATAAGCTCAGTGGCTCTTTGCCTGAGTTGCAGCTGGATCTGCCGCATCTCACGCACAGCCCCAGGGCGTGTTCCGTTGATCTCATAGTCTACATAGAACTCCAGTATCACTAAAATTATTTTCACGCCAAAAGAACGCTGTCAATGTTAGTATTTTTTTGCATATAGTGCATGCCTCCTACCTCTGGTGTCACCACACAGCACCACACAGTGCTTTGCTGAACAGCTGCGCTCTTTGTCTCGAGACAGCGTCCTCTTTGAACAACATTCGAGCACCGGTCTATTGTATACCAACGGGTGCTTTCTGCATTGCCTGCCTGCATCCCCTCCAAGTTTTAGGGAAACGTTCGACAAGGGCACTTACTCGCCTAGAAACACTGCCACGCTGCGCCTAGGCCCTCCGCAGTGAGCTGATGGATAAAAGATGACTTCTCTGGAAGTTCTACTTGAACGCTTACTGTAGACAATCCACAAAAGGGGTGTTCAAGGGTCTTCGTCCCGTGGGACCTAGGGACCAAAGCGCTTGAATCAGCATATGAGTATTATTAAAAAAAAGTTACTGTACGCCTCAAGACACCGAAACGGTCTGTAGATGTGCTGGAGGCAGCCCGAAAGAAGCCCATCTAACTGCAACGAGCCAAATGGCGCATGCATGTGCTTCTTTCATGGCCAGTAGCTTGTGAGAATCCCACTAGCGCGGCACTAGTACGTGCTTAAATTAGCTCGGTCAACTGCGCTGCAAACGAAGCTTCTCCGCTGCAGCAGACTCCCTCACCCACCGGCGAACAGTATTTTCAGGGAGGCACATTTTATTCGAAAACGCGTTGACTAGTGGGTGAACGGGGTTTCCTGTCTCAGCTCCGGTTCCGGTTGTCTGTGAGTGCGCAGACTGATAGCTCCTCATCAATGCAACCAGTGATAGGCGGGTGTCTTTTGATAGCTGCTCTTCCGAGTAGGCAGATCTTTCTATTAGCGCTTGCTCCACCTTTTGCAGAATTGCCCTCTCCGTTCGCTGCAAAAGCATCATTAGCGGCTGTCTCGACTGCTGATGTTCTGGCGCACACGGTGCCGAGATAACCCCAGCCAAGAGGCAACGGCTGGCATTCAACATGAAGGTGAACGACGGCAGATAATTAGGATGGATGGCTAAACCACCCATCGTGGCAATAACATTCGCTAATATGTTGCAGAATTGCAACGCACTCTGCTGTTGCTGGTGCCACGCAGTGAGAAGCGCTGAAGGTGTTGATTCAATTTGCATATCGTTTACTAGCGCTTGGAACACGACAGAATACAAATATGTTGCTTGAGCCAGCAGCTGCGTGAGCCGTTCGTGCGGTTTATCTCCTGGTCTATGCTGAGTTGAGACATGCTCGAATGGCGCCGCATCGGCTGCCGCTTGTTGCCAGAGTGTCAGGAAGCGAGGACTCCTGAATGCGCAAGTCATAAGTGCGAAGTTCTGGATTGTAGGCATGCCGCAGCACCACCAGCGTCACTTCTATAAGCAAGACAGTCGACAGTTCACAGTTATGCTAGCCTGTTAACCGTACCTGAAAGCCACCTCCAATGATATCAAAACTTCTTCTCGCATCCTTGCTAAATCAGGAGTGGGCGGGAGCGGTCTTCTTCGTCTAGCTGAGTGTATGTGGTTCAACGGCTCATCTAACCGCAAACCCAGTGTCTGTAACGCGGCAGCTGCAGCAGTGCAGCACGCATTTAGGTCTTTTGCTGCTGCCAGTTTATGTCCTGCTACACGTGGGTACTCACCGCATAGCAAGGGCAGCTGCACCACAAAGGGTCTCGCAATTCGCAGACTTAATACCCTCATACTAGCTGCTGCAGACAGAGCACCTGCTGCGGCATGCAGTAGACGACTTCTGTGTTGCTCCTCCTTTGCAGTCAATCCTAACTTCCGCCTGGCAGCTGATGGTACTGAATCCCGTGGGCACATCACTGAAGCTGCCTGAAGTGTCGAAAGTTGAGGAGATTGTGAGGGTTGTCCAGGCGCCGGAATGGTTGCTGGATTTGCTACTTCTGCTGAAGTTGCAGTACATGCGCCAACAGACGGAGAACCAATGCGCGTTGTCAGGTTCTCCCGACGGTGCTGATGCCGCTGCAAAAAAGCTTTCGCCTGCGCTGCACATCTCATCTTCTTGTCATATTGCTGTTTCACCTGCTTCGTCAGCGAGGAAGGTGCATCTCCGGGCAAAACAGGAGGAAGTAGTGGACCCGTGTCAACAAGCAGTGCCTGCGTTCCTGCAGTATCGGCAAATGAAATGCCAAAAGGGAACTTCGGGTGCCAAGCGGGTTGGTGCTGCACCTGCCACTCTGGTAATGCCGTCTCGGTGAGTCGAGGCGAAGGCCCCTTTCCAGAAGCGTCTGTCACGGCAGATGCCGCCACCTCGACACCAATGGGCGGCAGAGAATGGCGCGACAAAAGAGAAGCCACCTGGAATGGCTGTAAAAATGCGCGCCGACAGCAGGCCCAGCGTTTCATCGAATCTGCAGCACACTGGAAGGGGACAGCGGGCAGAAAGGCCAAAGCAAAGCATCCTCCCAGCTGGAAGCACGTTTTGCTGTCACCATCTCTACTCACCGCTTTGGTAAGCGTGCAATTAAAAGTCAGGCTAACTTACATATCAACTGACGAGGGCTATTAAAGGTTAGCCAGTACTAAAATGTACACTAATGTCCTTGTGCTTAGAGGATGGCTGGTGGACGCAAACAATAGAGTATACAGCCAATACGACAATTCAGTAACAACCTGTACCTTTCCGTAGAGAATGTTCCTCTTCCTTCCACCAGGTGCAGCTCCAACTGCCCTTTCCCGATCCTTCCCGCAGAGTCCCTCTACGTTGGCCGCCATTGATCCTTCTATTAAAGGATGTGGAGTTCCAGATACTGCAGTGCTCATCTTCATTACAAGTCGGCGCAGATGGCGGCGCCGTAGTCTGGAGAGACCCGGAGGTCCACTAAAGCCCCAGACGCGATAGAGGTGTGCCAAACGTGCCTACCGCATACAAGCAAGTACCCCTTCCAATGTACTTTGGCCGCAGACCTCGAACATCCAACGAGTTGTTCTAAACTCCAAACGCAGCTGAGTCATCATCAATGTTCATGAATCGCATCAGAGAACACACTTCGTAGCTAAAGAAGACGCACAAGTGTGAGAGAATGCTGCGGGCAGAAGTGGGATGGCTGGTAGCGGGTCGCAGGCCTAGGAATTTTGGAGAAATAACACGTGCATGTGCATTTCAGCATAACGCAAGTAAAAACGTTGGATGCGCTGCCAATACAAATGAATGCAAGCCACGGAAAGTGCATTGGGGGAACCGGGAATGCCCACCTCTCCTTTTGTTCTTGTTCTAGCAACCTCTGCACCTGCCGGCACAAAGCTGTTCCCTGTACCGCGACTCTTTCGCGGTAGCTGATTGCCGCCGGCGGAAGTCGGCAGTTGTGTGCCAAGGTCTATGACTTTTCTGAATTGAGACACGAAGGCACGCCAAGGCAAAGTCACGAACATCAATGCCCTGTGAAATCCTTGCTCTTTCAGCCTCCTTATCATGTCCTGGTCAGTTGGAATTACGGTGAATCCTGCAGGTTTCGATATCCCTCCCGACAGTGCTGTGTTAATGCGAAGTCTTGTTTTCCCGGGCTTGTGGTCCGCAGGATTTTGTTTACGAGAAGCTTTGGCAACCGGTCCAAAATGGCTGCGTTTTTTGGCACTGCCCCAGCGTGGGGAGAGGGCGTCTGCTGCAGCGACCACCGCTGCAGCATACGTTGCCCAGCTTTCACGCAGCTCATGGGTGCCTACATGGAAGACACGATGATTCCTCACTGTAGCCTCAGTAGCGCTTAACTCGGCTGGAAATGCTGCGGATGCAGCAGCCCCAAGTGATGCTTCAGAGGAGTTCGCGGCGGTTGTAACCACTTCCTTTTCAGCGCCGGCCACAACCACTGCAGATTCAACGCTAGTGTCAAGTCCACTACTCGCTGAGTCTGCTGTTACAGAGACACGGGAACTGTCTGGAAGCCGAGAACTATTTTGTTCAGAATGGAGCAGCTTGCGCTGCTGCTGCCCGTGGTTTGCCGTCGCCGCCGAAACGGATGCTAGCAGCCTAGACAACAGTTCTGGGTCCTTGTTATGCTGTGTACGAGACAGGTGTTGCAGCAGCGTAGCGGCAAGAAACGGATCGATACTGGCACCGGCACCACACGGAGTGCCGGTACTACGAACAGGGAGTGTTGCCGCAGTTGTTCCATCCTCTGCGTGCGAAATAGCGGTCAACCTGCGTGACGTCGTTGGTGCCGAAACTTCTTGTGCACTGATTACTTTGGAACACTTCTCGTTCTCCAGCAACCCACCACTAACAGCCAAACAACGTGGTGTGTGCTTTGGGGTCACCTCTGCCTCAATCAGTGCCGTCTTGTTAAATTTATCCTCGCAAGTATACCGTCCAGAGGCAAGTGGAGGAGGGAGATGCGCGTCATGCGGGAGCCGTTGAAGGGATTGCAGCCCATGGAGAGCGTGTGGCTCTGTTGTTTGCGCTTCTGCTGCTGACCCTGATGACAATATCTGCTCTTGCCTTTGCTGTGCCGATCCGCGTCTGGGATGGGGAGCATCCGCAGATGCTGCTGTCGCTGTTGGGGCTGCAGTTGTTCCCGCCGCTGTCGGCATCGTTGCAGATACAGCTGAGAGCTGACCGACAAACCGGGGAGAAGGGCGGGGATACTGATGCACATGATCCGGAGATCGTTTGCCATCATGAGTAGCTGCGGCGTACAGCAAGTACCCCTGTAGAAAAACAATATTATTGGGAACGGGAGCAAACGAAATTTGTTGTACTAAAACGATCATCTACATTAACGGCCTTCCGTGCGAAATCAATGAAACTTACATGTGATCTGTTTGTTCAAAATGAAAGCTGAGAGAGAAGAAAGCAGGGAACTGTGGCGGTAGTGCAAAATATCAAAACTCGAGATGCAGCCTGATAACTGCGAAGAACAGCAGCAAAGACAGCGCCGGTGCAAATCTTGAGTAGCTGCCATATCAATCACTGCAGCAAACCTGTTTTACTGTCACCAAACAAGCAGGCAGTACCTGCTCCCATGAATTGCCAGCAACGGCCCTGGCCTCAGTATTGTTGGCCTGGCACCTGCAAATCGAGGCGCTGAAGCCTAAAACGAAGGCGAATGCGGCGTCGTAAGCCCAACTACTGGACAACAGAGAAAGAGGTGTCACCAGCTCGGCAGGTACACGGACCGACAGCGGCGCAGCATAAGAAACAAATGAAAAGAGAAAATACAGAAAGGGGAAAGGGACATATGCAAGCGACCAAAAGCTGCTAAGCTAGTGTGTGACAGTGCCACAGCGGGAGTGTTACCAAATTCGGTGTATAGAGATGAAGGCTATGCTGCACAGCCAGCCCAAGTTTGTTCAGCGGAGAAGTCGCCCGGTGCTTTATCTTCGCTAGAAGACTGCAGAAAGGCGAACAAGAAACAGGGAAGCAAAGCTCCACATAAAGGGCAGAACAAAACGTGCTCAGGCGAAGTACTCCACTAGGATGCACGCTCTCTGTTTAACGAGCCCAGAACTGCTTTGAAAGAAACGTCGCACAAAACACGAAAATTCCCTACGAAGTTTCAGAATATGCGGGCGACAGGGTTGCGTGTAGCACAAAGTGCAAGAAGGGGATACACAATGAATGTGGAAAGCTACTTTAGAGTTGCCGAAACTTCCACCGGCGTCATCGATGCCCAATGAAGCTCTACCTCCCTTTCTAAGGCCTACAGAAAGAGCATGGCGCAATGCATATGGCTGTAGAAGCGGCTGGCTCTCTAATCTCTGTCGTTCGATACCTTCGACAATTTGCAACCGCTAGATCTACTGGCACATCGGCGTCTACTCCTCTGCCAGTGTGCTGCCAGAAAGGAACAACATGCTCTTGCCAGTATACTCCTACGGATGCGGGAAGCACAGGTTCGCTACACAAGATTACACATCCGAGGCTGACCCAACAGAAGGCCGGCGGCATCTGCTTGAGGTTTGCTGCTGCAAGACTGTTCCCCAAATGAAGTAGGCACGAAAAAGAGGAAGGGGATGCTAGACGTTCCCGCTGCCTCTCAAACATTTGTTGGTGATACTGCCTCTTCATATTGTCTGAACCCTCCTCTTGCGAGCTATGCAGTGCTGCCGGCGAGCAGGCAGGCTCCTGTTGCAACAACAAATACGACGAAGTCCCTCCGAGGTGCTCGTATACTGCAGCGCTAAGGCATTCCGCAATCTCCCTGAAGCCATGGCACCAATCAACCCAACGAAAATGCAGGTTAGGGTTGCATGCCTGCCTACGGAGTCGTTCTGTCGTCACTCTTGGACGGCACACCTTTGCTGGCTACTCTTGGTGCTGTTTCGACAGTGGAGGCTCACGCTTCTGCCTGCCGTACGGTGTCCCCAAATAATGACTCATTACTTGGCAATCCGTTTGCGCAGAGCACATCGTACGGTAGGCAGAAGCACGAGAATCCACAGTAGAAACTGCAAACCACCAAGACTTCCTCAGACCGTCTCGCTTACGTTGTTGACTCATGTGAAGACCGACCTGTCCAGTTCTTGCCTCTTCAGAAGCAAACCTGCCAGAGCTGCTGCTTCGGGTGGCTTCAGGGCAGAGGCATTTCGTTTAAGCTGTGGCAATACGGAGACTAAGAAGGGCAAGGTGGCGAGGTCCGTAGGGATGCCAAGCTCGTCCTGAGGTACAAGCAAGCGAGGCGCACATCAACCGCAGCTTTTTGGCGTTTTTTCGTCGCTGGACTGCACGGAAGGTACAATAGTGCAGGTACAATAGTGCAGCAGTAACAATGTGCGAGGCAGCACATTACGTTAAGAAATGCGCATTGAGACACAGCGGCACGCGGGCACAACAACTGATAATCTAGTGCCTCAGAGTTTGGTTGTCAAGCCTATCGTGTAAATCTTGGATACCCCCAATGTATGACTGCCCGCATGTTGCCTGCTAGTCACGTTGGGTAGTGCTGCATGCAGCAATACTGAGGAGAGCACAATCAGTCGGGGCGGAAAATTTTGGCGGCAAAACAGGTAGGGAACATATGGAAGGTCTGTGAGAAGGCCATGCGCGCAGATCTCATGCATTCATACGACGAATCGCTGAATCTTCAACAAGTCACCAGCGGTCAGACATTTCCGTCTCCTCTCCAGGGAAGCGAAGTAAAGACGCAGGTGAGAAACGCAAGGCAGGTACCTGATGACCCACAGACGATTCAGGAACCTAGCGGCGCTGGCAGCTACCACAACAAACGGGCAGTAGGCTGGGGGAGGAAAGTTGATGCACGATACACCTACACAAGGGTGAATGCAAAAAGCATAAAGGCTCATGATCAGAAAAGTGGTGAACAAAGAAAGGCATGGAAACCGACGGAGAGATGGAGGGGGATAGCTGAGGCACAGAAACACGAATTGGGGCAGGTTATTAAACACAAAAAAGGCACCCTGAGTGTCAGACTCTAGTACCAAACTATCGCATGTCCAAAGTTGCTCGGTTCACCATGCAATAAGCGACAGGACAAAATGCCAAGTGGTACGATGATACATTGGTGCCGACGCCTGCGTGAAAGAGAGACGTGGGAAGACATTACCTAATACGTCTTAGAGAATCCAAAAAAAGAACAGTTTGACTCGCTTCCGTCTGCTTCGCTGCTGCGCGCCAGCTGAAAGCTTCACACAGGCCCTGGAGAAGCAGCGGTGGTCGGCAGCCAGCTGCAGCAAGCAAAGCTGTTGCTTTTTGCACTTCCGACGAACTCAATAGTGGTAGCTGTTGCATTAGTAACAGCAGAGGCGGCGCCCAAGCCTCTGGCATGCGAACACGCGCATTGGTAAGGTCGCGCAACACGGAGAGTAGAACAGCAGGCCCTTCTGGAGTTTTTGAGCTGAGGAAGGGAACCGACAATGCAGGAGTAGGGGAAATGCCTCTCTTGATGTCTTTCGGTTCTGTCATTGTTGAGCTTGTGGGCTGTGCAGTCTCTGTTGCCGAAACAGCATTGCTACAGTTGCTCTGTGATAGTGAGCTCCTATAGATGACATCAAATACTGAAAATGACCTCTCCAGTGCATCTTGAAGAACTTCTGGATCCTCGCTGAACCCTTTACCGCTGTTGTAGGCAGTGTTGCTTCTACTAGTGCTTGTGGTGCAGCCGGTGTTGGTGATGTTTGCGCAGCTGCTGTTGTTGCTGGCTCTATGCCTGCCTCTTAGAGTCTGGCTTCCGAGCAATCTGGCCTCAGAGGTATTTGTGGGGGTGGGAGCCGCAAGTGGATGAGCCCTGGCTGCTTCATTGACGTGACCTTCGGAGGCAAGGGACTGGCGGGCAGTTGCTGTAGTGCGCAGCCGTCCCAAGCTGTGCGTGCTTATGATCTCGTCCTGCCAGGCTACCTGAGAATTACCTCTGACTAACCAAATTCTCCAAAGTCTATGCTGCAAGTTCCAATTCATGTTAGATTACATTTGTTAACGAAGGGGTGAGTTCATACAGTAAAGAACTGTTATCTGAATTGACCCCGGTCATTGCTGGGTATCAGCGCCCAATCTATAGGAAGACGGGGGGGTGTAGTGCACAGGCACTACAATGTGGCTCTAGTGTGATCTCTAGTAGGTCGTTGACCATAACGAGTATGATTATGACATTAGAAATTAAGAATGGGGATTATTGCTGCTAAAGGTTTTGACAATCGAGCACCGTAGAAGCCATACGTTTGTTGGTTTACCCCGCCAGCTGCCACTATCGGCAGCGCAGCGCACTACCTAGTCACTACGCGGGCACCAGATAGGGCCCTTCAGGGATCTGGTTGAAAAAGAAATAGAATTATTACTATATAGGAAAAATATGTCTATAAATACGACATTGGTGGGTGGCAGTTGTAGGTCAGGCTCCTGACAGTGTCGTCACCGTTGATAACCCCCGCCCGTCAAGTTAACGTCAATATTCCACATGAGAATGGTAGGAATATGTTGTGCTTCCTTCGTCATATAGAGTTGGTCTTTTTGTATACCGGAATATCCACGGAAGACAGGGGAGAAGAACTGCTCACATATTTGAACGGAGAAACATTAAATTACTGGTTCTACCTATGGCATACCCGAGAAACCGTCAGCAATTGGGAAGCTATCAAACGTATTATGCTAACTAGATTCTGTGGGGTCCAACGAGAAGAAATAGTCTCACGTTTGTATGAAAGCAGAGGGAAGGGAAGTGCATTAAATGATGCCTCCGTGTTTTCAGCAGTACTATGTAAGGGAGAACCCTTACCGCAGGAGCAGCAAGTGAACAATTTTTAGCGAACATGCCTGACGACATCGTCCTGAGGATGATAAATGAGAGCCATGTCAAATTCACAACTTGGGAAGAAACGCCTACAGAATTTTAAAAGTTTGTAGGGTCTAGAGATGAGACATTGAAACGACGAAGGCAAACTAGGCAATATTTGGAGGAGACCCATCGGCACGGGCATATTCGAGGGGAGTCCCCTAGGGAACCACGAAATAGCAAGAGGGGAAACCTACCGGACTGGCTAGTACCTAGGGAAAATGTTTGTTTCGAGTGCAGGGGCAGGGGGCATGTAGCTTCGCAATGCCCCTCTCGTCAGGAGGTTTTACGTCGTACTGGGAAGATGTGCCGCAAATGTGGAGGCGTAGGGTATTATGCCCCGGACTGCCCTTCCCCGGGGACTATGCGAACTGCGTGAGCAACGAGGCCCGAAGAGAGACAACAACGTGCTGACGTCAAGGACAAGGGACGTTTAAACGATCGAGCCTAGTCGTCCAGGGAGGCGCACGCACTAGGCGACATTCT